TGTCAGTACCTGGAGAGCCTTTAATTTTTTCCTTTATAAAGCTTTGAATTGTTCTGTTTGAAGTTCAAATTCAGGAATAAAACAGAAATCAAAACAGAAAGTATGTTTTCTATATAGCAAACTAATAGACTTAACCAGGAAGAAGCTGCATTTAGTTGTAAAGCTTGTCACATAAAAGGAATTTTATCCTCTTTGGGGCTTGGGGGGTTTTTTGGACCCCCTAAGGGCCATTTTTTCCAACATTTCAGAACTACAGAACATATATACCTTGATAGTTGTGTGTGAAAATTTATAATGGGCATTCTGTGGGGCTGATCAGAATCCCACTGAAGGGAGCACAGAGCCTGGCTTAGATCTTAAATAGAGAATTACAATAATTTAGGCTTCCTAGTCAAAATTCAGGTAAAGCAAATAAAAATTGCTGCTGTGCCTTTGAATTTGAGCTTCCACTCTGTGTATTAGTGGAAGGAAAATTTCATTTGGAATAGTCAGCATGCAGGTGTTGGCCATGTGTTCTGCTTTTCCAGTAGAATCTGAGTCCTCTCTGTCTGATCACTGTTGATAAAAGTCATTATGAGGTTAAAAATTGCTCACTTTTCGGTAGTGACCTGTAATCTCCAGTGTGAGTGTATCCTTAAATATTTGCATATACATGAGGAATTGGTACTGGTGCTTGGCACAACTGAACATAGCCTTGATAGTACTGGGTGCCAATTGCAGAACCATAAGCAGTACATACCTCTGAATGCCTGACTCAAAGGGCTGGCACATGTGTTTCAGCACCTATCCTTGTTGAGCTTGATCCCAAGTCTGAGCTTTTTCCAAACAGATCACAATCTGAATAGACCAACAGGCATAGGCTGTTAATTTGAATTACGGAGGAGGCTCATGGGCTTTGGTGCATTAAACAACCCACCCAAGGTTGTGCAGAGAGTGGTCTGCTGTGCCCAGTATAGAAGCACAAGTGATGCTATTGCAGTCACAGCTCATCCTTAGGTTTCAGCTCAGTTTGAGGGTAATGAGTTTGATCCACTGTTTCTTTACTGCTACTTTATGGTTATGCACTTGCACTAATATAACTGGAGTTTTAGTCAACTATCTACTAGTAGCCTTTGGTAAATACTGACATTCTTAATTGTTTAATAAATCTTTAATGGAGCTTTTAGTGTGTGTGAGGCTATGCATATTGATTTGTGTATTCCTGTTTAGGTATAAGGAAAGAAGTAAGGCTGTTGAGAGACTCCTGCAAGATCTAGAGAGAGGAGTGTACAGTCACAGATTATAATAATGTGTAAAGGTTTTCCACTCCTTAAAATGGAGAAGTTGACATATTAAATTGCACGTACTCTAATGATGTGGACTGACTTGGAAAATTTGAAGGAAATAACAGCTGTGCACACCAAAGCTTAAAAATAGAAACTTCATCAGGCAGTAGCAGTTTAGAATGAATGAAGAAATCATGAAATTATTAATTATGGTGGTTACAGAAAATAAACATGAAATTCAAATTTTCTGAAGGCAGAATGCTGTCTTTGATCATGCAGCATGTCTGCTGGGCATCAGCCTCTTGTCCTGCTGAGCCACTCTGTGAAGGTGGGGATTGTTGCTCAAACATAGCCACCTATTGCTATTTCAGATACCCTAAAATGACTCTGGCTTCCCACCTGGCTGACAGGTATGGCACAGGGAATATGGGAGTCTTCTGCCCTTCTGGAGTGGTAGCTGGATGCCCTGGGGCATCTCAGATGGCAGTGGATGCTTCTAAGGAGTCATTGCATGTAGACCTAAGTGCAGACTCACTTTCTCTTGGATCTTTAAACACAGTCACCTGAAGCACATCACCAGTTCATAGCATTGTTTGCAGTGGGTAATTCCAGAAAGCAATGACCAATTTATCTAATTCTAAACCTTAAGAAGAATTTTGAGGTGCATAGGATATCTATCCAGACTAAAACTTGACCAGGGTATAAAAACTGTTCTGGTGTTAAAAGCTGTAGTTGAAAAGTATGATTTAAAGTTGCGATGGATGGTTGCTTTCTTGATGACCTCAAATCCATGAATTAATTCTATCATTTGCCTTTTTATATATTCATAGTTAAATATAACTTGAATGTTGCCCTAATTACATTCTCATGTTAATTTAGCTCTGATTCAGAATTTCTATCATTATTCTTTGTAGAATTATTTTGAAATGATGGAAAGTTCAGAGAAGATGCTCCAGCGTGTGATTGTGCCTTTGAATTATTTATCATGTTCAAAGACAGAAATATGGCTAATATCTAGTTTGAGTTGTAAATGAGTCTTGGTAACCTAAGGAGGAAGTGGAAATCCTTTCTGCAGAATGACATGGCTCATGGGCACATTGATGTTGCAGAAGCACTTCACAGCCTCACATGAGCAGAGAGCCTCCCAGCTCCATAAAAAATAGCCATTGCATCAAATAGCAAATGCTATTTAAGCAGCTAAGGCAAAGTGTGGAAAAGGAGAGAGGTACAGAGACCACTTGCCCAGTGAGAGAGCAGATTAGTGACAGAATTAAGACAAAACACGTCCTGGCTTGATCAAAATGAGCACTCACACCTCACTCTCTCCCTCTGCTGTGAGCTATGGAAACAAAAGCTCTTGCAAGCAGCGTTTAGCCCATGTTGTTCACAATACGTCACAATGCCAAGTAGTACAGTGTTAATAATAGGTTGTAGAAACCATGATTAATGCAAAAATTCATACTTGTAGCTGTGGCCCTAAGCTGTGTAGAGAACAAACAAAATCTGATGAGGTGTGTGCAAGTCTGAGAGGGCAAGGAACTGCTGGGGAAAAATTCTAAAGGAGAAAGGGAAACTTGTCTTAATGTAAGCAGCAGTTTTGCTAGAGGTAAGTGAGGGGAAATTCTTCGTTTATAAATGGTTCGTTGATCCATGATAATAAAGCAGTGCTGCAGAAGAAGGATAATTATCTACTTAAGTATCAGATGCCCTAAGGGTAAAAGCTCCCCTTCTCTCCTTTTGAAAAATGAACTCAGATTAAACCAATGTCCTTTTTCCTGTTTTAGTGTTGACATGGATTTCCTTTTTATGAGTAAAATTAATTAGTTTTTCTATTCCTTTATTCCTGGTATGGAAATCAGGTCTGCCAAGCAAGTTTCCAGCTCTTCCCTTGGGCCCTCAGTTCAGCCAATAGCATCCTTTATGGAGGTGCTTTGTATAGTGTGCTGGGAAGGCACAAATAAATTACAGGAGTCTTATTATGCCCGGTAGCTTGCCAAGAGGCACAGCATTTTAGAACTAAAACTCCATAAAAGTAGGCTTGTTTTCCCCATCTAGGATTGGATTATTTCCAAGTACCTGCTTTCTAAATACGTTTTTCTCCTTTCTTAAATTTTAATACCTTAAGTTGTAACAAGAGAAAAAGGGAATAGTGGTGGCATAGCTGATGCTGTACTAAAAACCAGCAAGGGCCAGATTTTCAAAGCAGTTTAACACCCACAGCTGAGGTCAATCTTCCTCTAATCTGTTGGGAGCTGCTAGATGTGGAGCTCACTCAAAAAATCTGCTCCCACTTCAGCAAATATCCATTATCTTGTCTGTCCTCACCTGGCCTCTGAAAAATTATAATACCCTGCCCCTTTCAGAAAATGGCAGCTTTTCTCTCCAATCAGAGTTAGAAATGTGTTTCCTGTAATAAAGTTGGTGAAGGTAAATTTGTCTCTGTGTTTATGGAAATAAACTTTCACCTGTATTAATCTTTATTTCAAACATCTCTCACTGCTCTTGAAGATGAGGTTGATATAGCCTTTGTGTGAGCCTGTTAACTACAGACCAGCACCTGGTTACCTTTCCTGGAGTATAGAGGATATTCCTGAATACCTGCAGGCTTCAAGATGCAGTAAAAATAAAGATTACTGTAAGACAATGGCATGGAAATTAATTTTCTTCAAATAGCCTTTTGAACACTCGTTTAAATACTGAAAAAATAAGAAATTGTTAATTTTAATAGCCTTTGGTCATAAAAGTTCAAGTGGTGTTAAAGGTGATTTTAAGGTCTTTATTCTGCAAACACAGTAAGTCAGGGAAAAAATCCTGACTGCAGGGAATTGAAATGAGAATCAAGTCCCAGGTACTTGCTTGTTCAATTTACACAACTGAGGCTCTGTTAAGAATTCTGGACACTCTTACTAATGCTTCAAAAATGACTTTCAAGTGAGGAATCATAGCAATTATTAATTTCTCTGAGCATAGCAGATCAGATGACTGACTACTGTCTATGTACTTTCTTTGTTTACTTTATAGCTTAATTTCACTGACTTATGAAGCATAGTCACTAAGATAGAATAAAATCAAAGTATATTTACAGTGTTGTGAACATCACACCTAAAAGGGAATATTATCTTAATGTATTTCTGAAAATGTATAGTATTTATAGCAGGTGAGCATTCCTTGTGAATAGCAATTATTGGGTTGTAGAAATAAATTATCTACTATTATTAGCATAGTGATACCTAATTATAGGTACCTAAAATTAGGTGTACAGAATCAAGATTTTTAAAAATGCATACCACATGCATGGAAAAGCATCATAAAACTTTTGTCTCATTACACGCCCAAATTCATCTTAAATTCCTTTGGCTTTCCACCATCTTTAATCACTGAAGGAAATGTCTCTGACTTTTAGAGGTATTGAATATGAGCATCTCTCCATCAAAGTGGTAACTTAGTATCTGTGAAAACTTTGCTTTTCATTGGATGTCTCAGTCATGACACTCAGATCTCAGTTTAGGTATTTTGCCCATATCTGAAGGATTTGAGGAAACTTCTTCTGACTGAAGTGTTGGAAGGTGATCTGGATTTAGTCTTATGGTTTAGTGGCTCTTGCTATAATCCTCAAAGAGGAAGAGTTTAGGCTATTAAAAGGTGATTAGAAGCGGGTTACAGGATAGGGATTGAGACACTTATCCTTCTGGACTCCTCAGATTTGCATTTGTGCCTTAACAATATTACCTCCAGATGTCCTTGTTTGCCCTCTGCGGCCAGTGGAGCGTTTCCGTGACTTGTGTCCTGAGGAAGTGGCCGATTTATTTCGTACAGCGCAAAGGGTTGGGGATGTGGTGGAGAAGCACTTCTGTGGGACCTCGCTCACCATATCAATTCAGGTTGGTAAATCAGTCAACTAAGAAAGGTCTAATGGTTTGTTTTATCAAGCTTTCAGCCTTCTTCCCTAGTTCAATGTTAAAAGGACATTCAAATGTCGAGGGGCAATAAATGCAAAATAGTAATTTGTATGAAGTCCATGAGCTGCATTGCAGAGTGCTGTATTTGCCATGGAAAATAACTAAAAGGCAAACTATAAGAAAACTGTAGCTAATTGATAATGCAAAACTTTGGAATAAGCTTGTGAATGTTCACAAACACAGTGCTTGCTTGGGTGTATTTCAGCAAATATTCTTCCTTGAAAGAAGTGTTTGCAGGATTGACCTAGAAAAGGCAGCCACATCTCCCTGTTCAACAGGTAAACCACTGCTTGTGATGGAAACAGGTAATTCCTGCTCACAGCTGTTTGTATGCAGGCAGAGATGTGGCTATGTAAATGTGTTATCAATTCTGACCTTTCAGTTATTCGTTCTGGGTGTTTTCATACCAAAAGAAAAGAGCTCAGTTTAAAGCAGATCAGGAGACTAAGCTCATTTCATTAATGTAAGATTTTAAGCAAGTATACTTTGATTAAATTCTCATGTATCTGGTTTTATATCCACAAGATTAGAAATCTATTGCTAGCTTTTCAAAAATATTATCTGATATAAGAAAAAATAAGAACTGTCTTTTGTGGCCTAAGGTACCATTTCTCACTTTGCCACAGCCTGATATGGAAAGGTGCCTCGTCCAAAAACCTTGTGTTGGTTTGTGACAGGTTCCAAGGAAAATATGCTAGATTAGCATAGAGTGAAATTGGTTGTACATTATTATTGGCTTGAGATTTCTGAATTCTTTTGTGATCCTTGTTAGTTCCTCTAACTTGAGACTTTTCTGTTTGCTTACAGGATGGCCCTGAAGCTGGACAAACAGTGAAGGTGAGTGCTTATTATACATGATACAAATTAAGAGACTATTATAAGAACTAATAAGAGATCAAAGCTAGTTATCTGCAGACCATTGCTGTATTGTTATTTTATCCTTGAGATCAAAAAATCCCAAGTGTGCAATAGCTGTAAATACTTTTTATTGAAATTGCATAGGATAATGTTTACAGGTTTTCTTCCTAGGCAAAAATTTTCAGTCATGAAAATATATTTTCTAAGCTGCTGGGTGTATTTATGCAAGGAGAGCCTTAGAAAAGAAGCATCTGTTTAAGGGTTTTGTTTGTTTGGTGGAGAAAATATTGTCCCTCCATTCATAATCTCTTTGTTGCTCTTTTTACTGCCTAATGAGTTGTAGCTAATTATAGGAGCAGTTAAACTGAACCACATTAAGGAAATATACCTTTTGTCTGTACTTTCTCTATATATGTTCAGATCACATTCTCTTTACTGAAGTTCAAATGCAATGGAGCCAGTGTAGCTGAAAAACAGATTTTAAGTGTACTACTTTAAAACAGGCAGGAGGGTGGAGGGGAAGAGAAGGATTTATGATTATACGCTCTGCTTGAGTAATAACACAGATAGGGTCCAAGATGGCTCTCCAGCCATGCTTCACTGACCTGTAATGCAAATGCATGTGTAGTTAGATTATGTCCTTTAACATTAGATAAAGGGGTTTTTTACATTTGGAATTGAAAGAAAGTCAAATACAGCCATGGGTTAGCACTTTACAAAATCAAATTAGATGTCTCAGACAAGTTGTTTGGGTTGATTGAGATAACTGTAACAACCAAATGATGGCATAAAGAAGCATTTTACCTCTTTCCAATTTGCTGTATTTTTCCTACTCCTTTTTGTTGCCTGATTTGAACATTTAACAGAGAGGGAATAGGGATAGAGAAGAAGAAATTAGAAAATCCCCAAGCTTTGGGAATCTGAGGAGTGATGAATGAATATAATACAACTTCAGTACTAAGACAAAACAAATTCCTTGGCTTGTGACTTAGAGTGCATTGGGTGGGTTTCACGGGGAATGCCTGTTGGTAGGTGCAAGTCTCACTTTCAATACTGTCTGAAGTGAATTTTGTCATTAACACTGACATGTTTTAACAAGCAAATCACAGGATTTCTTTTAGTATCCAGGACAAATGATTTTTTTCTGTGTAAATAAAGGCTTATGGGAATGATTATATTAAAATATGAGAAAATTTGGTAATATGAATGAGGAAAACTAGATGTAAAAATTCCCATCTTCTCTGACTGTGAACATAACAAATGCTTATGTAGGCCTTTCAAAGGCAAGAAATTCTGAATAATTTTGTATTCATACTGGAGGCAAAGAGCATTATGTGTTAATCTGTCCAATACAGTGCAAAATGGTAGCCACCCTTTGTGCTTCCTTCTCACACTTTTAATAAGCAATGAGATGAAAATGACCTGCTCTTACAGCTGTGAACGCTTAGACTCTGTAATAAAGCCTGTGTATTCATAAATCAGAGGTTAGCAGTTTGCATTTCTCTACTTTTCTGCATCATTGGGCAACACTGTGATTTATCATCATCACTTTGGGATGTTTATAATCCAAAAATGCCAACATCTATTTTTTTCAAAGAACTTACAGCTTTCAAAACTTGAATTGGGAAGGAATTACTATGATCAAGATCTTCTTTAAAGTGAACAGTAGAGTAGATAAATAAATAGCTGTTGCTAGTTAAAACTGTTTTGAATCAGAAAGTTTGAAAAACCACTTGTGTGACATACAAATAACTTAAGAACCTTAAATTCAATGTGTCGCATGTTTCTGTATGTGTTTTTCTTCATATATCAGAATGCACAATAATCTAATCTTCCTCTGAGGGAACTTTTAATTAAAATTTCTGGAACAAACTAACTGCTAGAAAAACATTCTAATGGTAAGAATAGCGAAGCATTACAATAAATATCCAAGGGAGTTTGTGGAGACTCTGTTTCACAGAGTAGGCAAGCATATGTCAGGAGCTAATTAGGTGTAGCAGATCTTTCTTTGAATGGGTTCACATACCAGATGGCTTCAAGAGTTCTTTTCATTCACATTTTGTATAATTCTGTATACCTGTATAAATATAGGCTAGTGTATGTGCTATGTAGGAAAAGTATTACAGGAAGCAGGGGGAGAGTACTGGCTGTTAAACTGGTCAATGCAAAGCTTTACTACAAAATGGGAAGAACTATCAGCCCAGCTGAAGACAAACTGAATGAGAAGTTTTATCTGAAGAAGATTAGGAAATTCTATTTCTTTGGGAACAAGAAGGAATGGTAGTCCAGGTCCAAAGACAAACCTTGGACCTCGGTTTGAGTATGAGTCACAGGTCTTTCTTTGCTATGGAGCTGCTAAAACTTAGGTGTGCAAAGCATGTGCCAGGTTTAAAGGAGGTTACCCTTTCAGTGTGATTTTTGGATACAAATCAACAATGAAATCATCTGCTAATGTTACCTGTTCATTGTGCTGGTGTGTAGCCTGCTGGTGTGTGCAGGTTTCACTCAGATTTACCATGTACTGCAATGTCAGGATACTTCAGTAGTGCCTTTTGGAGTAAAACTTTCTTAGTTACCTAGTGGGAAGCTGTTTATGATCTAACACGTATCTCCATGGTTGCTGTACTCTCTTCCTTGTGGATAGGCTTCCTTTGAATCTAAGGCAGCAGAGCCTGCAGGGCAGTGCTCTAGGGATGCTTGTGGTCCTTTCAGATTCCCCCACTGTTGCAGTCTGTGTGTTTGAATGGGTCTTTGGAAGAAATTATATCTGACCCTCAGCTCACCAGTACTTTGGAAGTGTAGGTGGGTCTTTTCTTACCCTTTAGCAGCTGGAAATATATATTTTCTGAGGAATTCTGAAGCATGTCCCAGGTCTCGGACCATAAAATAATACAATATATTGCTTCATAATTTTTTTCATGGCTGTCCACAGATTCTACCTATTCCAACCCTGTCACCTATTTATGAGATGGACAAATGTGCCCCTCCAAAGGTGGTCACAGACTTGCACACTTTGTGTTTTATTGTAAGAGGTTCTTGCATCCACTCCCAACAAAGAACTTGAGCATCTCTGAGTAGTGTGTCAGCAAGCATGACCATCTTCCAGCATTAAAGACATTTTGAATACTTATTTCTTCTTACTTGAGAAAGGAGGGAAATTGTGTTTAGGTCCTCTCTTAAAAAATATTTATCTTTGCAATTTTGAGCTCTGTTTTTCTCAGAGAACACAAAACTCCTCGTGTCCTTGTGCCAGAAATGGAGGGTGAGTTTTGTGCTGGTTCTGTTTGAGAATGCCTTAAATATCCAAGCAATTTCATGGATCAGGGAAATCAGCTCTGCATCTTAATACAGGGCTCTTATTGCTGTGTCAAGTGAGTGATGTTTCAACATTTCCCCAGTATATTTTATAGCCTTCTTTTCAACATCAAGTCAGTAAATGCCCTGGCTGCCTTGGTGGATGTATAGGATAGTGCAGAATAAACTCTCGGGTTTACTTTTTATGTGAGATTCAATCACAAGAAACTCCATGTAGTCTGTACTCCGTAAAGGCTAAACAAATCAAGCTGGCAGGAGCATGATGCAACTAATTTATCTGTAGAGACAAGATAATATTGCACAGCAAGTGTCCATTGCACAAACACAAATGAACACATACTCTATTTTGCAACAGTGTTGAAGTCTCCAGCAGCTCAGCACCTCCACTGTTATCCATGAGTAAGTGCCTGTTTGCCAATTACAGGTTCACCTAAATAAATAAATGAGAAAGCAAGGCTGATGGTGGCACTGTGGGTATGTGTGCAGAAATTTATTTTAAATGTCACACGTTCCACTAATTATTTTACACTGAGAAGATTGTCTCACTGTTATTTTTTTGATGTACATGTTTTTCTTTCCTAGATGGTTTTTTAATGTGGTGTTAAATCAATCCACCTGGCTTCCATTCTTTAGGAACCTTAGCCTGAACTATGGAGTACAGGGTTTATTTTAGTCCACAGCAGACTGCTCTTTCATACTATTTGTCTACTTATCTCTGGACCTCAAGTACTGAACTTCAGATCTGAGTCTTTAAATTTAATCAGATTGCATTGCAGACCAATTGCATCAGAGGGATTAAATTCACTAACTGCAATACTTTGGATGCCTCAGCCTGCTTTCCCTGCAGACTGGCAGATGTGAGTCTTTGCGTAACGGAATATTGAAAACCACCTTTTGCTCTCTTAAATGAAGAAAAAAGCTGGTGTTTAAGAAATACAAAGATTTTTCTTACCTCCAAACAAATGCAAAAATTCAAGTAGAAAAAACATAGAAACGAGTTTTTGAAAACCAGATTGTACTGAAACATGTGAAGAAATGGTCTTGTTTGATTTACTCTTAAGAACCATGATTCTCTTGAAAGCTTGTGGGATGTCCAAAAATGATTTGATGAAGTACAGCAGTCTCTTTGAATTGCTTTGAGGTCTACACTAATAGTATTTGGTTGGAGAATATGTAATATTGAAGATAGGTAATTGGTACAGCAAATTCAGTAGTCTCAGGGCTGCTATGTCTGTTCTGAGCTCATCATTCTCTTTGTATTTCTGTACTATACTTAGACTGAGGTGGGTTTTGGTGGGATATTAGTGATGTATATTTTCAAAGCTAGGATTATACTGCCCCTTATAGAGACAGGGAAGCAGAAGAGGCATTATAATAGTTTGCCCTCCCCTCCCTTAAAGTTTTTCTTCAGCTCTTTGTTTTTGTACTTGCTCTAAATAATAATTTTTGCCCTCTCCTTCAAGGTCTTTTTAAAGATCTTGCGTGTATTGGCCTAATTCTCCTTTCAGTCCCTTGGCCAGACTTGTGTTTTTTATGATGCAATTAATGAGTATAGACTCAGAATTTCAGTTTTGCTTTGTCAGGTCTTTACTCTTATTCATTACATCTAACATTCAGTTTTGGGTTTAACTGTAAGCTTTCCAGGAAAACCATCATATTGCTGT